GCACAGACACTGTTTTACTTAGGGCCACAGAAACTGTTACTTACTTAGGGCCACAGAATTGTTACTCAGGGCACAGAATTGTTACTCTCGCACAGAATTGTTACTTAGAACAGAATTGTTTACTAACTTACAGACACAGAAATGTTACTCGCACAGACACAGAATTGTTACTCAGGACACAGAATTGTTACTGGGCCACAGAACTGTTACTGAGGGCCACAGAAACTGTTACTTAGGGCCACAGAGAATTGTTACTCGCAGGGCCACAGACTGTTACAGGGCCACAGAATTGTTACTCAGGGACACAGAATTGTTACTCAGGGACACAAATTGTTACTGAGGGCCACAGAACTGTTACTTAGGGCCACAGAATTGTTACTCGCACAGACACAGAATTGTTACTCCACAGAACACTCAGGGACCACAGAATTGTTACTGAGTGGCCACAGAATGTTACTTAGGGCCACAGAATTGTTACTTAGGGCGCACAGACACAGAATTGTTACTCAGGAGGGCACAGAATTGTTACTTAGGGCCACAGAATTGTTACTTAGGGCACAGAATTGTTACTAGGGCCACAGCACAGACACAGAATTGTTACTCAGGGACAGCACACAGAATTGTTACTTAGGGCCACAGAATTGTTACTTAGCACAGACACAGATTGTTACTCAGGGACACAGAACTTGTTACTGAGGGCCACAGAACTGTTACTTAGGGCCACAGAATTGTGTTACTCTCGACAGACACAGAATTGTTACTCAGGGAACACAGAACTGTTACTGAGGGCCACAGAAAATGTTTACTTAGGGCACACAGAATTGTTACTACTCGCACAGACCACAGAAGAATTGTTACTACTCGCACAGACACAGAATTGTTACTCAGGGACCACACAGAACTGTTACTGAGGGCCACAGAACTGTTACTTAGGGCCACAGAATTGTTACTCTCGCACAGACACAGAATTGTTACTCGCACAGACACAGAATTGTTACTGAGGGCCACAGAAATTGTTACTTGGGGCCACAGAAACGTTTTACTCAGGGACACACAGAATTGTTACTGAGTTACTGTTAGGGGGCACAGAACTGTTACTTAGGGCCACCACACAGAATTGTTACTCGCACAGACACAGAATTGTTACTGAGGGCCACAGAACTGTTTACTTGGGGCCACAGAAACGTGAAATCAGGGACACAGAATTGTTACTGAGGGCCACAGAACTGTTACTTAGGGCCACAGAATTGTTACTCTCAGCACAGACACAGAATTGTTACTCGCACAGACACAGTTACTCGCACAGACACAGAATTGTTACTGAGGGCCACAGAACTGTTACTTGGGGCCACAGAAACGTTACTCAGAGTGACACAGAATTGTTACTGAGGGCCACAGAAACTGTTACTTAGGGCCACAGAATTGTTACTACTACTCGCACAGACACAGAATTGTTACTCAGCACAGACACAGAATTTTTACTGAGGGCCACAGAACTGTTACTTAGGGCCACAGAACTGAATCAGGGACAGAATTGAATTGTTACTGAGGGCCACAGAAACTGTTACTTAGGGCCAGAATTGAATTGTTACTCGCACAGACACAGAATTGTTACTCGCACAGACACAGAATGTTTACTGAGGGCCACAGAACTGTTACTTGGGGCCACAGAAACACAGAATTAATCAGGGACACAGAATTGTTACTGAGGGCCACAGAACTGTTACTTAGGGCCACAGAATTGTTACTCAGGCACAGACACAGAATTGTTACTCAGGGACACAGAATTGTTACTCAGGGACACATAATCGTTAATTTAAAGAGTATGTCAGACAACATGCAGAGGAGTGGCAGAGGAGGCAATGTTTTAGGAGCGAGCAGACGTGGCAGCAGAGGAAGGGGTCGAGGGCAGCACTATTCGCAGCCAGAGGCCAGTGCTCCCGGTGTCATCCAGCGGTCGTGTCTCCACCGACAACCCTGCCGTCATCGATTGGTTGGTTGGCTCGGTCGTTCTTCCTCTTCCCAGGTCACCTCTGACACCTACAGCCAACGTGTCGGTGGGGTACGTCAGAGACACAACCATTAGTTGGCATTGGCCATGGCCCGGGACCAAGCCCACTGAAATCACGTGTCCTCTACCTGCCCCTGTCCTTTGGTGTTCCCTCACCAAGCGAAGTAATCGCATGCTGTGGGCTCAGCCCCACTGTACAGTGAGGAAGAGCAACAAAACAGAGGGCGGTCAGGAACGGGGGGAGACATCCGCCTTTTCAGCAGCCAGGCGAAGACAAAGTGGCGAGGAGAGTGGCCCTGTAGCCGGTGTCCGTCTAGAGACAGGTCTGTCTCCTGTGACCCAGACGCATCCGCCAGGGGGCTAGTTAGTGAGGCGGGAGACCCCCTACTTGATGATGAGGAGGTTGATCGCACACTTGGCAGCCATCGTCGTCATCAGGCAATTTCTTCCGCATCATCATCAGAAGAAGAGGGTGGCAGCTTTGGCAGTGAGCGAAACAGTCGTCGGTTTTTGCCCAGGAGACAGCAGCAGGGTCGCAGCAAGTGTCAGTGGAGCCAAACGGCCACGGAGTAGAGCACCAGCTCCACTGCAGCCTACCACCACGGCCAGTAGTGGTGCCGGTGTGCACGGGAGGAAGCAGCAGTCACTGCCAGTGAGGAGTATCGGGGGCAAAGTTTCCTACTCGGGGTGTGGCAATTTTTCGTCAAGCCGCCCGAGGAAGTAAACGTAGCCGTATGTCGACTATGTGGCCAGAAAGTCAAGCGTGGCCATGGGGACTACATCCCGCATATCAGTTTTTGGTGGCCAGGAAAACCCATGATAAGCGTTCTGCGCTCCATAGCAGCCATGCCATATAGGTCGGCAGCATCTTTGCCCATTATGCCACTTTCAGGTCTCCTGGGAAGTCTGCAACCTTGTGTGTGTTCCAAAGATAGGGTTACTAGCTGGCAGATTACGGGCCTCCCATAGCTGCTGCCAGGCCCCTAATCTGCCATGGCCCCTATATAACACTGCCTCCTCATGCTGCAGCCATCAGGCCCCTAGTCTCTCATGGGCCCCTAACATGCCTCATCATGCTCGTTACTACGCCTGCCATTCCATCTCCATGCCACACTCTGCCATGTGCCACTTTCAGGTCTCCTCACACACACTGCTTGTGTGTTCAATTTTTTGACATAGGGTGCTGGCAGATTACGGGCCTCCCATAGCTGCTGCCAGGCCCCTAATCTGCCATGGGCCCCTATATACCGCCTCCTCATGCTGCTGCCAAGTCCAGAGTCTCTCATGGGTCCCTGTAAACGGCCTCCCATTGCTGCTGTCTCCATCGCCAACACTCTGCCATGTGCCACTTTTTGCAGGTCTCCTCACACACTGCTGGTGTGTTGAATTTTTTGACATAGGGTGCTGGCAGATTACGGGCCTCCCATAGCTGCTGCCAGGCCCCTAATCTGCCATGGGCCCCTATATACCCCGCCTCCTCATGCTGCTGCCAGGTCCAGAGTCTCTCATGGGTCCCTGATACGGCCTCCCATTGCTGCTGTCCATCGTCTGCCATGTGCCATCGCACACACAAGAATTTTTTGCATGGGTGCTGAGCAGGTCTCCCATTACGGGCCTCACACACTGCTGGTAGTCTGCCTGGGCCCCTAGTACCGCCTCTGCTTGCCAGTCCAGAGTCTCTCATAGGGTCCCTGTTCTGCTGCTGTCGGGCCACACTCTGCCATGTGCCACATAGTCACTGCACATGCTGTGGCCCCAAATTGCCATAGGGTGCCCCTGGCATAATGCTTACGGGCCCTCCAGAACTGCTGCCTTGTAGGGGCCCCTAGTCTGCCATGGACTCCCCTATATACCCATCCTCCTCATGGCTCAGCCAAGTCCATCAGTCCTCAAGGGTCCCCTAATACTAGCCATGGCCACGCCACACTCTGCCATCAGGTCTCCTCACACACTGCTGGTGTGTTGAAATTTTTTGACATAGGGTGCTGGCAGATTACGGGCCTCCCATAGCTAGCTGCTGCCAGGCCCAATATTCTGCCGATGCCCCTATATACCGCCTCCTCATGCTGCTGCACCAAGTCCAGAGAGTTCTCTCATGGGTCCCTACGTGCCTGCATCCTTGCTGCTGTCTCCATCGCCACACTCTGCCATGTGCCACTTCAGGTCTCCTCACACTGCTGGTGTGTAGAATTTTTTTGACATAGGGTGCTGGCAGATTACGGGCCTCCATAGCTGCTGCCAGGCCCCTAATCTGCCATGGGCCCCTATATACCGCCCTCCTCATGCTGCTGCTGCCAGGTCCAGAGTCTCTCATGGGGTCCCTGTACGGCCTCCCATTGCTGCTGTCTCCATCGCCACACTCTGCCATGTGCCACTTTCAGGTCTCCTCACACACTGCTGGTGTGTTGAAATTTTTTTGACATAGGGTGCTGGCAGATTACGGGCCTCCCATAGCTGCTGCCAGGCCCCTAATCTGCCATGGGGCCCCTATATACCGCACCGCCTCCTCATGCTGCTGCCAAGTCCAGAGTCTCTCATGGGTCCCTGTACGGCCTCCCATTGCTGCTGTCTCCATCGCCACACTCTGCCATGTGCCACTTTCAGGTCTCCTCACACTCTGCAAACATGCCAAACCCCCTTTCACGATCCTTGCTGGCCAGGTTTGAATTTCAATTTTTTGACATAGGGTGCTGGCAGATTTACGGGCCTCCCATAGCTGCTTGCCAGGCCCCTAATCTGCCATGGGCCCCTATATACCGCCTCCTCATGCTGCTGCCAAAGTCCAGAGTCTCTCATGGGTCCCTGTACGGCCCCTCCCATTGCTGCTGTCTCCCATCGCCACACTCTCTGCCATGTGCCACTTTCAGGTCTCCTCACACTGCTGGTGTGTGTAGAATTTTTTTGACATAGGGTGCTGGCAGATTACGGGCCTCCCATAGCTGCTGCCAGGCCCCTAATCTGCCATGGGGCCCCTATATATACCGCCTCCTCATGCTGCTGCCAGGTCCAGAGTCTCTCATGGGTCCCTGTACGGCCTCCCATTGCTGCTGTCTCCATCGCCACACTCTGCCATGTGCCACTTTCAGGTCTCCTCACACACTGCTGTGTGTGTTGAATTTTTTTGACATAGGGTGTGCTGGCAGATTACGGGCCTCCCATATAGCTGCCTGCCAGGCCCCTAATCTGCCATGGGCCCCTATATACCGCCTCCTCATGCTGCTGCCAGGTCCAGAGTCTCTCATGGGTCCCTGTACGGCCTCCCATTGCTGCTGTCTGTCCATCGCCACACTCTGCTGCCATGTGCCACTTTCAGGTCTCTTACTCACACACTGCTGGTGTGTTGAATTTTTTGACATAGGGTGCTGCTGGCAGATTACGGGCCTCCCATAGCTGCTGCCAGGCCCCTAATCTGCCATGGGCCCCTATATACCGCCTCCTCATGCTGCTGCTGCCAGGGTCCAGAGTCTCTCTCATGGGTCCCTGTACGGCCTCCCATTGCTGCTGTCTCCATCGCCACACTCTGCCATGTGTGCCACTTTCAGGTCTTCACACACACTGCTGGTGTGTTTTCAATTTTTTTTGACATAGGGTGCTGGCAGATTACGGGCCTCCATAGCTGCTGCCAGGCCCCTAATCTGCCATGGGCCCCTATATACCGCCGCCTCCTCATGCTGCTGCCCAGGTCCAGAGTCTCTCATGGGTCCCTGTACGGCCTCCCATTGCTGCTGTCTCCATCGCCACACTCTGCCATGTGCCACTCTTTCAGGTCTCCTCACACACTGCTGGTGTGTAGAATTTTTTTGACATAGGGTGCTGGCAGATTACGGGCCTCCCATAGCTGCTGCCAGGCCCCTAATCTGCCATGGGCCCCTATATACCGCCTCCTCATGCTGCTGCCAAGTCCAGAGTCTCTCATGGGTCCCTGTACGGCCTCCCATTTGCTGCTGTCCATCCATCGCCACACTCTGCCATGTGCCACTTTCAGGTCTCCTCACACTGCTGGTGTGTTGAATTTTTTGACATAGGGTGCTGGCAGATTACGGGCCTCCCATAGCCTCCCATAGCTGCTGCTGCCAGGCCCCTAATCTGCCATGGGCCCCTATATACCGCCTCCTCATGCTGCTGCTGCTCGCCAGGTCCAGAGTCTCTCATGGGTCCCTGTAACGGCCTCCCATTGCTGCTGTCTCCATCGCCACACTCCATGCCCCTGTGCCACTTTCAGGTCTCCTCACACACTGCTGGTGTGTGTTACAATTTTTTGACATAGGGTGTGCCAGCTGGCAGATTACGGGCCTCCATAGCTGCTGCCAGGCCCCTAATCTGCCATGGGCCCCCCTATATACCGCCGCCTCCTCATGCTGCTGCCAAGTCCAGAGTCTGTCATGGGTCCCTGTACGGCCTCCTCCCATTGCTGCTGTCTCCATCGCCACACTCTGCCATGTGCCACTTTCAGGTCTCCTCACACACTGCTGGTGTGTTTTGAATTTTTTGACATAGGGTGCTGGCAGATTACGGGCCTCCCATAGCTGCTGCCAGGCCCCTAATCTGCCATGGGCCCCTATACCGCCCCTCCTCATGCTGCTGCCAAGTCCAGAGTCTCTCATGTCCCTGTACCACCCATTCTGCTGCTGTCTCCATCGCCACACTCTGCCATGTGCCACTTTCAGGTCTCCTCACACTGCTGGTGTGTTCAATTTTTTGACATAGGGTGCTGGCAGATTACGGGCCTCCCATAGCTGCTGCCAGGCCCCTAATCTGCCATGGGCCCCTATACCGCCTCCTCATCATGCTGCTGCCAAGGTCCAGAGTCTCTCATGGGTCCCTGTACGGCCTCCCATTGCTGCTGTCTCCATCGCCACACTCTGCCATGTGCCACTTTCAGGTCTCCTCACACTGCTGGTGTGTTCAATTTTTTTGACATAGGGTGCTGGCAGATTACGGGCCTCCCATTGCTGCTGCCAGGCACGTAATCTGCCATGGGCCCCCGTACCGACTCCTCATGCTGTGACGTTGCAACAAGGTGGAATTCAACCCTACATATGTTAGACCGCCTTTACGAACAGCGAAAGGCCATCACAGATTTCCTGATGTTAAAAGCGGATAAAGGTACTCCCCTGTGTAACTTAGATGTCAGCCATTGGCAGCTCATGCGTGACACCTGCGCTTGCTCAGGCCCTTTGAGGAGGCCACGCTATTCGTGAGTCGGCAGGACTATGGGATGAACGACGTCATTCCTCTGTTGCACGTCCTGGAACAAATGCTGTTAACAATGGCTGGTCAGGGTGCGGTAGACGTGGCGCACAGATCTCAACGCCACATGACCCCTGTGGGGGCAGGACAGAAGAAGAAGAGGAGGAGGTAGAGGAGGACATTGGTGCTCAGGAATTATTGAGTGAAATGGGTGGTTTTTCCACTCAGCGGACAGGAGTGGAGGAGCAGGAGCATCTGGTAGAGGAGGAGGAGGAGGAGACAGAGGACCCAGACGCACCGTGGCAGTATGCTGTGGAGATGGAGGCAGGGAGTCCCTCGCATTCCTTGGCACAAATGGCCCATAGCATGCTCGCTTGCTTGCGTAGCGACAGCCGAATAATAACCATCAGACAGAGGGATGACTTTTGGCTGTCCACCTTGTTGGACCCCTCGCTACCGTTCAAAAATGGTGGCCTTTTCACACCTGCTGAGAGGGAGGCCAAAATAACGTACTATAAAAACCACCTATGTAGTCAGCTGGTCTCTGCCTTTCTGCGCCAACGTCCATCCTCAGACACTGTGGGCCCTGTGCGCTCGCGTTCCGCTGCCATGGCAGCAGGGGAGGGGTGGGGTGGTAGGAGCAGTGGCAGCTCCACCAGCAGCGGCTGCCTCAGTCTGCAGTCGATGATGAGTAGCTTTTTCACCAGCGCAGTGAGGAAACTAGTAACCAGCCGCAGCAGCAGCAGCATCAGGTGGACCTGGAGCAGGACCTCAAACAACAGGCTTAGGCCTACTTGGACAGCACCCTGCCAACCGAGGTAGACAATCCCCTTGACTACTGGGCAACGAAACTTGACCTTTGACCCCAACTAGCTGAATTTGCCCTTGAAAGGCTGTCATGCCCGGCCAGTAGCGTGGCATCGGAGCGCGTGTTTAGTGCGGCAGGAGGTATTGCAACTCCGCGGAGGACACGACTGTCCACCCAAAGTGTGGAGAGACTCACGTTTGTGAAAATGAATCAGGCGTGGATTAGTCTGGATTTCAAACCACCAGTTCCTGACACAACTGACTAAATCCGCCATGAATCATGCCCCAAACATGTGCCACTTTCAGGTCTCCTCACACACTGCTTGTGTTTTCAATTTTTTGACATAGGGTGCTGGCAGATTACGGGCCTCCCATAGCTGCTGCCAGGCCCCTAATCTGCCATGGGCCCCTATATACCACCTCCTCATGCTGCTGCCCAGGGTCAGAGTCTCTCATGCCATGTGCCACTTTCAGGTCTCCTCACACACTGCTGGTGTGTTCAATTTTTTGTCATAGGGTGCTGGCAGATTACGGGCCTCCTATAGCTGCTGCCAGGCCCCTAATCTGCCATGGGCCCCTATACCGCCTCCTCATGCTGCTGCCAGGTCCACAGTCTCTCATGGGTCCCTGTACGGCCTCCCATTGCTGCTGTCTCCATCGCCACACTCTGCCATGTGCCACTTTCAGGTCTCCTCACACACTGCTGGTGTGTTCCATTTTTTGTCATAGGGTGCTGGCAGATTACGGGCCTCCCATTGCTGCTGCCAGGCCTGTAATCTGCCATGGGCCCCCGTACCGCCTGGTCACGCTGCTGCTGGGTCCACAGTGTGACATGGGTCCCTGTACCGCCCATTGCTCCCACTCTGCCATGTGCCACTTTCAGGTCTCCTCACACTCCTGCTGGTTTCCATTTTGTCATAGGTTGCTGGCAGATTACAGGCCTCCCATAGGTGCTGCCAGGCCCCAAATCTGCCATGGGCCCCCGTACCGCCTCGTCACGCTGCTGCTGGGTCCACAGTGTGACATGGGTCCTTGTACCGCCTCCCATTGCTCCCACTCTGCCATGTGCCACTTTCAGGTCTCCTCACACTCCTGCTGGTTTCCATTTTGTCATAGGTTGCTGTATGGCCTCCCATTGCTGCTGCCTCCACCGCCACACTGTGGCTCCAAACACTGGTTTTGGCCCCGTGACTGGCCAAATGAGTGAAGTGTGCGGTGATTCTAAGATCGACGGCACTCATCTGCATGTCATACTGAGTGACAGTATTATTTCTCTTCCCCAGCAGACTCCAAGGGCATTTAAATTAAAGGTACAGTGTTCTGCACTAATATTAAGTCTCTCTGAAGCCTAGAAACACCCTTTTTTAAGTTAAATTCACAGCGAATTTATTCGACTCGAATCGAATATTGTCCACAAATTCGCCGAATCAGTCGAATCGAATTTTTCATTTCTTCACTCATCTCTAGTTAGCAGAGTACAGAATGGACACTACAACACTGGTGCCAATAATACCAAAAGATATATAAAGTGCAGCGCTAATAATACCAAAGCCTGGGTGTTGCAGAAATGAATAAAGGTTATAAGAAGTCAAGGCATTTTCTAGGCATTTAGTGGTGATAAATGCATGCACAAGAGGTCTATTTATAAGATTCATACAACTTTCACCTAGTTGCAGAGGACTGATCAATTAGACTGGCTGCTGCTAGCAAAATCACAAATGTGTACCAGTGAACAAATGTGGGTGCAAACATAAAAATTTCTGCACTGCCTCTCCCAAAAACTACTTTAAATAATTAATTAAATAAACAAATGAACTCCCTACTACACAAAGGGTCCCCACAAATGTGCATGTGCTATAATGCTTTAATATAGTGTTGCATGACCGCGCAATTGTCATTCAAAGTGTGACAGCGCTGAAAGCTGAAAATTGGCCTGGGAAGGAAGGGGGTATAAGTGCCCAGTAGGCAAGCGGTTAAATCCCAGCAAAAAACAATTCCTTCTCAGAGGACAAGTGTAGCGCTATCAAACCCCGCTCTACATGTTTCCTCGGATGACATCATCAGGAGAGCTTCAAAAAATTTAAAGTTAAAAAAAAAACCCCAAAGGATCCCCCATCCGCATCCGGTGTGAATATTAGGTGATACAGTAGTAAATCTTCTTATCCATAGCAATTCTCTAGTGCATAGTGCTCCAATTAGTGCCCCCCCTCCAGAGCCCCACTCACCACAGATATTTGACCACCTGGAACGGTAGGACATATACACGTCATCAGGTGGTCAATTATCTGTGGTGAGTGGGGCTCTGGAGGGGGGGCACTAATTGGAGCACTACGCACACAGCATTGCTATGGATAAGAAGAATTACTACTGTATCACTTAATAGTCACTCCGGAAGCGGATGGGGGTTCCTTTGGGGTTTTTTTTGGAACTTCCAATTTTTTGGGAACTTTTATATCTTTGCACAATTATTGGGACTTTAATAAATATATATATATATATATATATATATATATATATATATATATATATATATATATTTTATACAATTTCACTGTATGTACAGTTTCATGGCATTGTATATGTGCTGTTTTTAGCACTATTGTCGTTTAAGCACCTTGTATTTACTTATTGGTTTATTTGGGATTTAGTCACTGGGGAGGAGGGATATAATTGCCAGCCCACGGGGCATTATAGCGCATGCACATTTGTGGGGACCCTTTGTGTAGTAGGGAGTTCATTTATTTGTTTAATTAATTATTTAAAGTAGTTTTTGGGAGAGGCAGCGCAGCAATTTTTATGTTTTAACTTTCACCTAGTATTTACACATTTTTCAACTGAATCCAAAAATTTAAAATATTGTGTGAAACTTGGATGAAAGTTGTGTGCAAACATTTATAAACAGACCCCTAAAGTGAAAGTTCAGCTAAAACCCTTTTATTTAAATTTTGTGTAGAGTGGAATGGTTTAAAAATGTCCGTTTTGTTTATTTCTGAGAATGCCCTCATTAACTTGAAACAAATTTCTCTCAATCCACATTAACTATTTTTAATCCATATAGTGCTAGAATTAGTAAGTAGATAGGAAGGTATATTTGATTTTCTTGATTTAAACTTTTTGATACATTTCTTCCTGGTTTTTGGCCTAGGGCAAAACAATGTCATACATCCCAGGAGTCTTCATGGGTATATTTTTTCATCTGGAGGAGGGGTTTACTCGGCTAAACATACCTTCCTGCCTGCATGTCTGAGCTGAAGGCAGATGGATTTCAGGAAGTAAACGCTAGATGAATCATCTGCCCTTATAAATACATCAGTGGTTCAAATAGTGAACTCGGTGTTATTCACCCTGAAGTCATCACAGAGGACAAGGGGGCACTTTTTGCATCTGGAGGAAAAGAGATTTAATCTCCAAATACAGAAAGGTTTCTTCACAATAAAAGCTTTGAAAATGTGGACTAGACTCCCTCAAGAGTTGGTTCTGGACAAGTCAGTGGATTGCTTTAAAAAAGTTCTGGATTCTTTCCTAGATACACATAATATAACTGGATACTAACATTTATAGGTAAAGTTTATCCAGGGATCAGGAAGGAATTTTTTCTCCTGCAGGAGCAAATTGGATCATGCTTTGCTGTGTTTTTTTGCCTTTCTCTGGATCAACTGTAGGTGTTGGATTATAACTTGTTTTTTTTGTTGGGTTTTTTTTATGGTTGAACTGGATGGACTTTTGTCTAACTATGTAACTCAAGAAGGCTGTGACTAGAAATGCCAGGGAGGTGTTTTCAAAATGACTTTTTCACAAAAGAAAGCATAGAGATTTATGGTTTAGGGTTTATGGTTCCCATCTGCTTCGGGATGCCACAAAAGTACAGCAAACAGCAGACAGTTCACACCATTCACAGCTGTGAACTCCATTTTACCTTACA